GGTTACTCGTGGCGTGTGTGTGTGTGTGGGTGGGGGGGGGAGGGGGTTCCAAACCTGCCGGATGAGTTGGAAGACCAGTAGAGTAAGAAGGAATAAAGATGAAGATCCCAACTTTTCATGAAGAGGCTCAGACTCCCCTTAGGTCCTTCTCCCATTTCAGCTCTGACCGCCCCTTACTTGCTGTCTCTCCTAGAGCTGCTCACTTGGTCCTTGGTGGCTTTACAGAAGATACAAAATAACTCATACTTCTGAGTTTCGTTAGATGTTAAGCCCGGAGGGAGTTGTCTGGTTATTATTTGTGCTGTCTCACCTTTGTCAGCTATGGTCCCTCTCACCACAATATATGGGCATCTCACTACCTCTAAGTGTTACCTGTGTGAGGTGGGGCTATGCCCTGATACCCATTTTACAGATGGGGAACTGAAATATGGAGGCTAAGGGCCAGATTTTCAAAGGCATTTAAGTACTTCTGAAAATCCCTCTAGGCACCTACATGTATCTTTAGCTGCCTAAAATCTGGCCTTAGTGATATGCCTAAGGTTACATTGGAAATCTGTGGAGAGGAGAGATTTGAACCCAGCTCTCCAAAGTCCAAGAGGAGGACCCCAACCATAGGGCCACCTTTCCACCCAACTCTCATTCAAGCTTGCAGGGGTTTCCCTGGCTTTGTGAGACTCCTTGAAATGAAAGATCCCAGGCCCATTAATCCACTAGGATGTGACATAAATACAGGATTTTCTTGTGTGACAGCTTGTGCCCCAGTAAGACAAAAACCACGCTGCTCATTTCCATGGGAGAAAGACAGCAACACTAAGGAATTTAAGGGGATAAAAATCACATATCAGGTGAATACATTGGAAAGTATATAGAACAATGTACTTGGCATTATGTTCTGACACTTCACATTTCTGTGAAGAATAAAATGGGCACATTCTCGTTAGCTCCGTGGAGCACCAGGTGTGAGCGAATAACAGCATAGATAATTGCCTCGCTGAGATCTGACGTGGGTTACAGAGTACCATGGCATATGGCTTTCCTGCACTTCC